CTTGTTTAATAAGCGCTGTCTTCACTTTGCATTTCTTGGATTTCAGCTTTTTTTTTGTACTTTAAAAATTACTCTGGAGAGGTAATATGTACTCAAACCAAAAAATGCCTGCAGTTTCAATTCTTATCTCAATAAAGTTTTGAGGGAATTAGTTACTGAAGTGGTTAACGTGGCATACTTGAATGGTTGACTTACCAATTAGAAGTATGGTTTATGTAATGTGCTAACTCATTATGTTCGTGTATAGGGTTCTGAGCAGTATTCATAAAGGAATATGTTGTTAGGTTTCTTGTATCATTAAAACATTTATGAGCAATATTATCTTTTTATTTTGAAAAGTGGTTTCTGTTTCAGTTTATCATCACTGGTGTAATCGGTTCACAAATAAGACTTACCTATTCTGGAGGTTGCTTTTTTTTTTTTTTTTTTTTTTTTTTTTTTTTTTTTAAACAAATACACTGTGCTGCTGAACAAACATCAAATTGGAGGAAGTGGTCAAATATTTTTTTTCCAAGCAAATTCTGTTGAGGTCTACTGACTCAGACTTTCCCAGACTCACCACTTGTTTCTGGATTTACCAGCTTAATTCTATAGCCTAAACTTGCTCTCCAAAACAAGGTTTTTGCAGTGTTTTATGTGCACAGGGTAATGCTTGGGGTCTGTTTCATTCAGTTGTGCTAAAGCATGATGCACAGTTTTACCATGGCCACGAGAATGCTCCGCTTTGCGTAGCAAGTTCTGAAAAGTTAAAGCATTCCTTCCATTCTTCCACAGTCATAGCAGATGAGTAAAACTCGCGCTAATGATGGAGGTAAAGCTAAGTCTTATGACTGTCACTTGCACAAGGGCTGCTGACCTAACAAGGCCCCTTACCAAAATACTTGTATTCCTATTGCCTCACATGACCCAATGAGCTTTCCTTGGAAATGAAGGCCACGTGGCAAGACAATCAGCTATATGTTAGCTATATCGGTCTGGCTCCCTGTTCAGTCCTCAAAATGTGTTCTTTTTTTTCTAGCTATCCTCAGCTTGCTTTCTACTGATTATATGCAGAAGCTGTGAACAGAAATCCTGAAGCTGATTGTGAGCATAGTTTTTGTAAGGTGCTTGATGGGATTCTTCAGAAAGGGATTTTTCCTCTTCTACTGGGGAAGGAATGTGGTTGCTGCTAACCGTGGCAGTTTATTTAATGGAATTTTGCAAAGTTTTGCCAAAGACAGATGCTTGCTCCTGGTCCTCGACTCAGGGAAATTCTTCAGAGTTAGTCTTAAAGTAATTTCTAAGACAGCCCATTGTGCTAATAGCTGAAACTGTCCACCTAGTGCCTTTAAGGCTTTCTTGTCTTTTGCTTAATAAATTATTGCTCAGAAGAAATAAACCTTCCTTCTGACAGAACTTACGTTTTAGTGCCATGTCAGCATTGTGAGAAGGAATGGGTATTTTCTTTCCTGAGAGCAGAAATTTATGATGTAATTTAAGATCTCTCACATAATTACAGCTTTTAATATTTTTGATGTTGCAGGTGCTGTTTTATAGTTTGTTCGTTTCAATGCTGTATACTACCCTTTTCCCAAAGACAGCCATTGCATTTAAACAACCATGGCTGTCCAACTTGTATTGTGTTTCAGCAAAAACCCCTGTAAAATCATCTTTCAGTTGTGATATTTTGTGTGTGTGTGTTTGCTTGTTAAAGCACTTAAATGCTAATTCAGGCATTCATGTCCCCAAAATTTGTTGCCCTAACATAGCTTTAAAAGAGGAATAGTTTTAATTAAAATTACTAAAAAAAACCTCTTAAGTGATCAGGTTTTACTATGTAGCTGCCTTCCTAAAAAGTGTTGACACACGGATGTGGCTTAGTAGTTGTCTCCATCTGCTGGCAGAATGGAAGTGTGCTTTATTTGGCTGACCTTTCATGGAATTTAGAGATCAAAAGATGAGAAAAATTATACTAAACTTTCATGCAAACTTCGTCAAATTCACATTAGCCGATGAAAGAGAACAATTGTTTTGTAAGTAGTTAATTCTGACAACAGTAACCAAATACTTAGAAACCTGGGGGTTTATTACATTTCATACTCTTGAATTTGATATCCTCCTTATGGGCCAGATGTGCAAGGGTATGTAGCTGCTAAATAGTTTTGTGAGACTCTGCCTTTTATGATTTTTAAAACTGAAAAGAAATTTGTATTTTGCTTCCCTGCCCTTCTTAATGTTTCTACTATTTTTATGTTTTCAAATGTAATTACAAACACAGCACTAGTTTTTACCCATACTCTATTAAATCATGGGCTGAGTGAAGTTGTCTGTCATTAAATAATAAAAAAATTAGTTAAAGAGACTATAATTGTACAGGTGGCATTAGAGATTTGTGTCCAGTTTATTATTGAAAAAACCCAAACAAACCAACAAAAAAACTGAAAGAACTTTTTCCCCTGCTGCAGGCCTTCTTTGCTGCTTCAGTAAACTGAATCAAAGGAGGCTTCTCCTGGCTCCTTTCATGTTGGTAACCAGGATTTAGCCTTCTAGCGAGAGGCATAAGTACAGCTATTCTGTAATGAAACAAACCTTTCATTTCTAATTCCTTGTTGCCTTGGTTCTGTTGTGTGTGTTTGAGTCAGCATAGCGTAAAAACTTCCTAGTAAAGTTACCAGTTTGGATTCTGGATTCTGAATTCACGCATTAGAAGAGGTGTTTTTAATAAACTGCACTTTGGAATTTAGAACTCTATTTCCAGTATTTGGAATTGTTCAGGCTCTGGCAATTCCTATAAAGGAGCTTGGGGTGTTGATTTTTAACTACAAGTAGCAGTATTTTGATTCTGTTCTTTCTACGCCACTCCTAACCCCCGAGTTAGTACATTTACAGGTGTGATGAGAAAGCTCTGTAACACTAAAATGACCTCATCAAGAAATTGCACTCTAGCATTTGTGAACTGAGTACACGCTGGTGATAACGAAACAGATGTTTATACTGAAAATTCTATTATTGCAAAGCAGGTACAAAAGAGGAATCGGAACCCAGGGTGACATTGACTGGGGTTTGTATCATTCTCGGCATGGTTGCCCTTTTCTTATGAGAGGTTCCTGGAAAAGAGAGGGGAGGATGAAAATGGAAGTAAGTAAAAGCCATTCTAGGTGTATAGATTGAGGCAGTTCGTATCGAAGAAACTGATTGTCTCTGTGTACACACACACACACTGCATGGTCTGCACCAGTCAGAAAAAAGTTGAACTGAGGAGGTGCACTCAGCCTCTCTATTCTTCCATCAGAGCACTTTGTTACTGAATGCAGCATCCAGTTGCATGATTGATAGGTATTTACTGTTTAATAGGTAAATATTTGGAAAAGCCCAGCCACAATCTTCAGCGATTACTTTTTAAAAAATTTTTTAACACCGTCTATAGTGGGGATTACACACCTATGCATCATTGCATCATTAGTGTGTGCCAGTTGCCGATTTGAAATCCCCTTAAAAATACATTATCCTTAGTCTCTGCAAAAGTAAGACTTCTGATTTTGTTATGTACAAATCGAAACCAAGGACCTATCAGTCCTTTGTCCAAATCTGGGAAATGCTTACTTTTGCAAGCACAACTCAAAATAAAGGAGGAAAAAAAAAAATTGTTCTATGAATTTGCTTTGATAGTAAGTAAAATTTTCACAAAAATACTAGGCATTGTATCATCTAACCTACTATGCGAAATAACTGATGGACTTATCAGTGCCAGTGTGTAAACTTGTATATTTTAAGGCAAGCAATTTTTTGCTGTGATGGAAATGATTGACTTACTTACTTGGGTCAGCGGGGGGGGCAGAAGAGAGATGATAGTTCACAGAATAACCTGTGAACTTTCACCCCTCTATATGGAAACTTGTTTCAGGGTCAAATCCTTGTAGCTGCCTTCTTGCCACGGTCAATGCCAGCCCTACTATTCACAACACTGCGGCCATCGAGGCCTAGGTACGTAAACATTTAAGGAGTTTTTAAAGTTCTTTACATCAAAACAGATTTTTAAAATTTCTGTTTATAAGCTTTCACCATTTAACAACTATTATGTTAATGATGATTTGAAAGAATGTGAAGACTACTGCTGCTAAACTGTGTGGCTAAGCGCCTTTTTTTCCTTTAAAAAAAAGAAAAGAAAAACCTGTATGTTTCATGTGGATTTTCAGAGTAGAACTTGAATGTACAACTGCTGTATAATAAAATGATAAAATGGGGAAACGTTTTTTTTATATATATTTAAAATACGCCTAAACACTATGTGAATGTCATTACTAAATGTGCTTGTATTTTGTTCAATAACTAGGTACACTTGGCACGCATGTTGCCAGTTAAACAGTTAACACTGCCTCCTTTCACAAGATGAGAAGAGATGCATTGGAACCAAAGTAGCGTGTTTAAATATGGACGGTTATCATTTTATTAAATACATATGTCTGAAATGGGTCACTTGCCACTTTTGGATTGCATTAGAATTTTCTTAAGTTGTTCTTTTTTGAAAATATTGATTTGTGTCTTGTGTGTCTGCGTGAATTCTGGTTTATACAAGATGTTAATGTATTATAAAGCTAAGGTGTATTTTTTTTGAATTGAGTCTGTGAAAGGTTGTTAGAAACATTTTTTGGAAGCTCCCACTTATTTTTTAAAATCCCAGTGCTAACTTTAGGACTTGTTTTACTTTTCTTTTTCTGGATAGGATCAGTTCTTAAGAGCAGCCCCTGTAACTGGAGGAATGGGAGCTCAACTGATGAGAAAAATGGGCTGGAGAGAAGGAGAAGGGCTTGGAAAAAACAAAGAAGGCAGCGTTGAGCCTATCATGGTCGATTTTAAGACAGATCGGAAAGGTAAGCCCTTCCTTAAATGTCTTATGGCAGTCTAAACTTCTCATGTCTGTTTTGTAGTAAGCTTTTTCTGGGTACAGCTTCACTGTAAAAGGTAATAGAATGACGTAGATGACTTTGGGACTAGTTTTTCAAGCCCTGGATTATGTATATAGGCTTTGTCCTTATGCTTGGGAACTCTTCCAGATGTTCTTTAACTTTCCCTAACCTTCACCTTCCTTTTTAAAAAGTGCTTCTCAGTGGTTCTTAAATTAGGGATGTGCTTCAGTTGGATGTATAGAGAAGGCACAGATAGGGAAACGAATCGTGGAAGAGCTGTTGTGGTTGGTCTAGAGAAAGTGGCCGAAGCAAGAATGGGGCAGGATAGAAGATTGAATAATTCAATCAGTTTTAAACTGGGGTGAAGGACAGAGGCGAGAGCCACAGAGTTGAGTTAGCGCTGCCTTTCAGCCAAAGTCCTGACATGAATGGACTTGTCATACTGATGGTTTTAGGTCTTCCAAATGGTTTCCGTTTCCTTTTTTGTCCATCTGATCTCCCTGCTCTTCCATCTCCTGCTGCAGGCAGCTCTGCTCAACTACAAGGGTGTTTCTCTGATTGTTTCCAAAGATTGCTTTAGCAGTCTTTCGTCCTCTTCTTTATATAGTCCATGGCCACAGGTGGAGAACTGTTGCACTTGTCTCTTTCTACTCAAAAAACTATCCTTTTATTTACACGCAGTGCGCTGCTGCTTAAACTGGCAGCATGGTTTATATGGTTGGCCATCTCTCCAGCATATTCAGCAAGAGTTCTGTTTTCAGAGTGAGTGTTTATGAAAATTTGACATCTGAGATATCTACACAAGTTCTAATTCTTTCAAATAAAACATGCAGAATTTCAGCAGTCAGGATTTATGATTTAATTGTTATATTATGCATGTTACCAAAATAAATGATTTAACACTTGACTGCAGGAAAACAAATTCTTACTTCTGTTGTTCTCCTAAGTATTTTTTTAAAATCTGGGAACCTTTAATATATTACATAGTTCACATCTAATATTAAAGCATGAAAACACTTTGAATTATGGGTTTGTATTAGCTTTTGTCAATGCTCATAATAGAGCTCGGAAGAAAACAAAGCATATAAATGCAAAGGTTGAGAAGTTTAATTGCAGAGATGCTGTTGGAGGTGGAGGAATCTTTAGCTGTCAAACGCTCGTTCTCAGTAGTTCAGTACTGCTCAGGTGACCAAGCTAGCAGTGGAAATACAATTTAAACATTTAATTATCAAGTGCAAAGAGCTAGAAAATGAGAAAGCAAGCCTATGCTAAGAAAATACCCATTGCTTTCTGAATTCTAAAGACCACCTGGTAGCATAATACAGTTTTATAAATAGAGAAGTGCAACAGTCTCCAAGTACAGAACACAGCAATACAGACATCTTCGTTTTATACGAACAACGACCAAACTTGCTTTTCAGCTGTTTTTCTTCTGTGCAGCATTTCTGTTTAAAGAAGGGGGGAGGGGGGAAGAACACCTGGTGACAGAGTGATTGCCAAGAAAATATTTGAAAAATATTTTGTTACTTTTACTTAGTTACTGTGAACTTTATAGATGTTGTTTTGTAAAGGTCTCACTCTTGGTAAGAGTTCCTTCAATTTACCTTAGTATCAGTCAGAGGGAAGAAATTGAGAACAGTCAATTTCAGCCTTATTTTGTCATGCAGCCTGCATCACGTAGTGATGGATTTTTGTGGTGAGGAGGGAAGAGTTAGCTCTGTTCATTATGTTGCTTGCTTCTTGTCACATCATGGGAAAGAGGCAGGATTGGTGCACAACCCGTGAACATTCTGAACATGGAAGATATTTTGGGTGATAGAGAGCTGTCTTGCAGCTTAAGTTTCCAGTTCTAGAAGCGTGCCCCGGGATCCTCATGTGGTTTCTGGTAGAAATTTCCTTAGTGCCTGCAGAACTTGATACCGAAGCTTCAAGGACCAAGCCCTAAGGCAGGATCAGGTCCTCACTGCGCTGGGCATTCTTAAGAGATAGTTTGCTCTTTCTGCTTCAGAATGCTCAGTCTTCCATAACAATTAAAAACGTTAATGGAGTTAAAGGCTGCCTCCTCCAGCATGTGATAGATTCATGTGGAAATACTAATAACCTTAGTAATGACTGGGCTTTACTTTAATTTCATAGTTTTAAGATACTTGATATCATATATGGAATCTTACCTGATAATTTCCACAGAAAAACCTAAACGTGTTCCATGCTGATAATACTTTTTAATGTTGAGCCAGCCAAGTCTATAATAGGGGGAGACAACTTGCATTATGGAGCAGCAGCCTGTTTCATGTGTTAAAAAGAAGCAACTGAACAGTGATTACACATTTATGACTAGTAGCTGAAAAGCATCTTCAAACTTTAGTGTTCTTTGGTGCTTAAATGTATAAAAAGTCATTTTTTTTTTTTTTCAAGTTCTGTGTAGAGGTTTAAAGAAAAGTCTGAAATTTTTAAAAGGAGTCTGTCTGTTACTAAGTAACCTATTTTTGTTTTGTAGGGGCCTTGAAACACATTTTTAGAACTTATCCCCCAAATAAAATGCTATTTCTAGGTACAGGAACAAGCAGTTTGCTAAGGAGTTACTCAGTAGGCTGCACTAAGACGAACCAAAAAGTTGTTGTCTGCCTTTGCTATAGCCTTTCCCTTAGACCCTGTTTGTTCCACGTACTAAGTGAGATCTGTAATTCTCTCATGGACAGCATCAAAACCAAACCCTTCTTGAGCTTTGCTGTCAGCCAGTAAATTGTTGGTTGCTTGTATTCAGAGAAGCCTGGTCCATCAGCAGAGCTTGTCGGAGTCTGTTGCAGCTTTTTTGAAAGTCCCTCTTGAGGTACCAGGGCCAAGATGTGGAAGACAAGGGTCAGTGACTTTGACTCAGGGAGACTCAGTATTAATGCAGAGAATGACGTAAGAATTTTTTTCTTGGGTGGAAATCTTTGCTGATTTTGGATATAAAATTCTGTAATTAAAAAAAAAAAAAAGAACCTCTGTTTCAATGATTGTTGTCTATGTGGGTTTCATGCCACTTGAAAAGTCCCTACTTAGGAGCTGCATGAATGTTAGGATGAAAATCTGGGAAGGAGGGAAGGATTTTCTTTTAAAGCAAAACAAAACAATATGCCAACCAAAAAAAGCTGAAGGAACAGGAAGGAACTGGAAACAATTGCAGTATCTCCCTGTCTTTATTCACCAAAGCCAGGAACAGAAACAAATTGAGGTAAGAAACAAAGTAATACTGAAGGACTGAAGTCTGAGAAATTCTGAAAAAACGGCCAGGTATTTTGTTTACGTGTATTTTAAAAAATGGTCATGGCAAAATGAATGGAAAGACACTTGAGTCGCTTCTTAAGCATGGCATGGTTCCTGGCATTTGATACATTTTTGGCGATTGTTAAGTTTTATTTCTTACTCTCATAAAATTTTAAAAGGAAAAATGTTCAGCTTCCGTGTTTCACAATATCTTCCCTTGGAACTTGTGCTCTTTGCATTGACTTGGGGCCCAGTTGCATGCTTTCCTCCCGCTTGATAGTGAGATATGATTGAAATCACGGTAATTGGGCTGTGAACTTGCACAGAAAGGATAAATATTTGAATACTGTTAAATAAAGACAGCACATGTTATAAGAACACCACTGTGTTACTCATATCATAAAAGGACATACTGGGTGCACTTTTTATTGTTTAACGGAAATACTTCAAATGTTTAGTACGTTGGAGGCAAACTGTTAAGGTAGTGGATGACTTTTGGGTTGCACAAAGCAAATACTGAACGAGAGAATGTTTTTAAGTTTCTCTCTTGTTCAGTGTTTCTCCAAAGAAGGCACAGAAAACCAGGTGTTCCTGATTTGCATGAGACTACTCAAAGTTTTCTACTACCTGGCTTGTCTTGAGTCTTCCTGGAGCAGTTGAGAAGACTCTTGTGTGTAGTATGGAGGGAAAAAAAATCTGGATGAAAGGGAGGTTTGAAAGACTTCTGAAAAGACAGTTGTATGGTGCCTCCAGGCTCCATCTCCACTAATACATGTTTCTGCTTTACTGATGAGAATACAGAAATCGGGTGGGAATCATAAATGTAAACTTTATTGTGTTTTGTTTAGGGCTTGTTGCTGTGGGAGAGAAGGCACAAAAGAGATCTGGACATTATGTTGTGATGAAGGATCTTTCAGGTGAGATTCTTACTTGTCTAAAAAAAAAAAAAGAAAAGCCCTCACTTAAATGATTGCTTTGATAGCTACCTTGAAATTTCAAATACATTTTATCTTTAAGGTAAACATCCAGTTTCTGCGTTGATGGAGATCTGTAACAAAAGAAGATGGTCACCACCTGAATTTGTGTTGGTGGATGATAGTGGGCCTGATCATCGCAAACATTTTATCTTTAAGGTGTGTTTGAGTTTCCTTGTTTGCTGTTGGTTTCTCTATTAACAGTGATGTAAATTCATGTTTATATTTGTATCTAAACATAAAAGCCACCTCAGGGGTGGCTGAGGACTGCTAAGCAGCATCTCGATACTACAGTTTCAAAGTCCTGTTTCTGTAAAGGCCAAATCGGATCTGTCAAGCGCACTAATCTGCAAATCCGTCAAGAAACGCACTGTTCCGCTTCTCACTAAAATGATTAACCTGTGTGGTGTCACATTCTTGCTGTTTACTTGCAGGTGTGGTGTTAAGTCTAACCGTTGTAGAGGTAGCAAGCAAGATGTAGTTGGATTTGTCCTTCGGTTATCTTCTGGTGTGGGCTTTCTTTTTCACCTAACACCTTGCATTAGCAAGTTACTATTTGGAAATGATTGTGCTTACAGACCAGACGTGGATTTTGTCTACCCCTAGAACTGCGTAAGAGAATGCGCTTCAAGGAGCTCTGTAGCGCTGCCTTGAAACAGAAGGGAAGAGGCACGTTCTAACTCTTTCTTTTTTTTTTCCTCCTCCCCCTCTTTCATGAACAGGTGAGAGTCAATGGAAATGAGTACAGGCCTACTTTTGCCAGCCTTAACAAGAAGCATGCTAAAGCCACAGCAGCAACTGCGGCTCTCCAAGCGATGGGACTTGTACCAAAGGAAAGCATGGTTAATACCACCATGTTTAGGAGTGCCTCACACCGCTAGATATCGTTTTTTATATTGACATTATTTCAGATAATTTTACTCTGCACAAAAATGGTATTTGCCCTTTCATGTTGTAAATACATTGGCAATTCCCACGTTGTAAAAACTGTACAGACACCTTCAGGTTTTTCTTTTGTACCATCAAAATGTATTTAAATCATACTTAGTTTTTGGTATGTTTATATTGTTTACATTAGTGATGTAATTATTTCTTAAATGACTAAATCGGATGACAGACTCTGGAGGCATCAGTAATCTAAACCCTTGTTTTAAAAGTCATGCAGTTTCCCTCCAATACGGAATGTTAACACTTTCATACTGTTTTGTACTATGCTGCAGTTTTCCCTGGTCTCGGTAAAGCTACTCTTGCACTTTTGCCGACAGCTGGTAAAAGGTCGTGCGGCTTACCTTAGTCTAGTCGAGGCTGGCGTGTACTGCTGGACAGATACCGGGCCAGTACTGTGACCCCCGTGAGGCGGCAGGCGGCGGCAGCCCTGTTGTACAGTGTTAACGCTGCGGCTTCGTGCTGCGTTTCGTTTTGGGGGTTTAGCTCCGCGGTGCACTGCAACCGGCCGTACGGCCCATGCTCCAGGACACGCGCGATTAGGCAAAAGACTTGCTTGCAGAGGGACGGCAGAAAGTCCAGCAGTGGAACCGATGAGACTCGCAATGTAAAGGTGACTCTCCCTGCATGTTCTGAGAAGGGAGACGGTGGAGTCGTCTTATTCCAAACAAATTAACACACTGCCTGATGTTGATTGTATGAATTTGTGGTTAATGTGAATTTTAAACTCTAACAAATCTACAACTGGATTCGGGGGGGAGGGAGGGGATAGAATGATGCTTAAATTGTTGTACCCAACTTGGTCAATAAAGCAGCACAAGTTCATAATCTTAATCACTGGTCGGTAAACGGTAATTAAAACGTATGCCAAGACAACTTTCTGAAGACACGCACAGTATGAAAGCACGCTTTATGAAGATTATCGACAGCTGTTAGGGTTGCAGAATCAGTTCTAGTCGGTTTTGGTTGCTTTGTGGACTATTACCAAATCAACTCCTTGGGCTTAAATTTCCTGTAATGGTACTCTGCCCTCAAGGAGACAGCCTGATCCAGAGTTTTAGCAGTTTGACAAGTGAGAGGATGTAAGAGCTTTTCCTCCTTCTTTTCTCTCTCTCTCTCTCTCTCTCTTTTTTTTTTTTTATTTTTTTTTTTTTTGTAATTTAAGAAGTATTAGTACTTTAGCTGTGTGCACTTTGTAGTGGAAAGGGCATCGTACACCTCTTGCCAGATTTGTCCGAGCTACAAGCAGACTGCCGGGATTTATGGACTCTGGTCGTTCAGGTGCTTACTTCAGAAGAGTCTTTTTGAGGTCTCTTCGTACGACATCTACTGACCAGAGCTTCGTCTGGGACAGGAACAAAATACAGGTTGCAGGCAGTAAGGCTGTGCTCGAGCCTAAAGTGAATGACCTCTGCAATGGTAGCAGGAACGTGGAGGTGAAGGATTGCCAGTACTTCCTCTTCCACGGAGTAAGGCGACTTGCGTGCATTCTGTCAACTGTTACGGAACAAGGTGTCTGTCTTTGCCCTGAAGGGACGAGGTTCGAGGTCTCATGTTGTGTACAGCAGAGAAATGGTATTTGGATCTGCACCACACGCTTCCGAGAAGTAAAGCCCCATGTTAGTCTGTCGAAGCGCTCTAGAAATGCCTAAGTTGATCTTAATTTTCATGGACGTAGTTGTCTTTAATTAAAAACTTTTTTCCCTTTGTGGCTTCTCGCCTTCAGTCTCTGACTAAATATTTGAAGATCTCCTTGCCTCATTTGCTGAACTAGTTGGAAGGTGTGTATGAAAACCAAAAGTAAATGCGATCGTACAGCAACGGAAAGGTCTGCCTTGGGAGAGCTGGGTGTTGGATCTGTCTTGTCTGAAGTCTGGCTTTTTGATGTACGACTTAAAGTAATTAACTCGGGACGCGGGAACAGCTCCTAATTGGACTTTTGTTTCAATACCTGGTTTGGTAGAGCTAACGCATCAGAGATGTTGATCATTTTGTTTAGTTGACGGTGTCCATGTAAGCACTGGTTTCATAGCTGTACGGTATCGAGTCTGGGAACATAAAGTCTCTTGTACTTGTTGTTTTGTTCTTTTTTTGCTCTATATTCCCCATGTGTAATGTTAAGATACATGTTATCTCACGGCACCAAGGAGCAGATGAACTCGGTCCTGTTGAAGACTCCATTTTAAAAAAATAACTGTTTAGGCAAGTCTGGATTTCATGCCTTAAAAGACGTGGTACTGTCTGTGGATTTAACCTTTGGTCTTAAGGAAGACTTACAAAAAACCCCCCAAATAATTAAGGTCTGTAATGCCCTAATTACGACACTTCTTGATTTCAAGGTTTCTGTTTTAGTTTCATTCCTTGTTGTTTAGAACGATATATGACTCTAAGGCTAGTGCAGCGACGCGCTTCTGTTAAATTTGTAAATCTGAATTGGTTTGAGTGTGTTTTGCATGCAGGAATAGATAAGTAGTGACATATTAAAGCGAACAACTAGGAAACACTCTCTTGGAACCTGGTTATTTATGCAAGACTTTAGCTGTCTGCTGATGGAAGACGTGATCTGTGTGGCTGCTGGGTTTCCTTTTGCTGCAGGATTCTTTTTCCTAGAAGTAACCGTGCTGAAAGTGCTTCTGGTTTCCCTGTCACACGAGAGAGGAGCAGTTTGAAACAGGCGCCCAAGAACTGGCCCAGCCAGCTTCCACCAGAACAATTTCTGGGCAGGCTTTTCTAACTTTTAGTTTTTAAATAGTTAGGACTGGAGGAGCAGGGAGGTGAAGTTCCTACACTACACCTTGGAAAATTTGAAATTGGCTTTGAAATTGAAAAGGGCGAAAACTATACAGTATCTTAATCAACTGCTGCAAGTCTCTAGCTGGCCCGAACAAATCATAGCCGTGATGAAAATTCCCCCATTTGGACAGGGTTAAATAAATAAACCTTACTGCTCTACCAGCATCTGGAAGAATGGTAGCAGTTGCTGACACTACCTGTAGACGGAAGAACAGCGGAGTGGGTAGCGTAATGCTGCAGCTTTTATAGGGAAAGTTCACTGGAGCCAAGGGTGCTTCAGGAACGGCACCGAATCCCAGAGCTCTAAGCAACTGGAATGCGCTTCTGCAATTCCAGGCGGATCTGTGACTTAAACCCAAGTTTACGGTGCAGGGAGGAACTACAGCTCGGGTAATAACACAAAGCATGCGATAAAAGAATTTGGTGGTAAATTTTGAAACGATGCAGTTCTACACTACAAGAATGTAATTGCAATTCAATTTTTTTTTTAAATGAGTGAAAGATATTAATTGGCGCCGGTGTCTCTAACCCTTAACGTGCTACATGTGAAAATGCAAACTGGAACCGAAGTGAATAGCAATTACTGTATTTCCTAGCAGCAGACAGGCTGTAGCGCTGGGCCGAGGGTGAGTTTGCAGCAGACTGCAAAGCCCGGTAGCAGAGGCTAGGACTGACGTAGGCAGAGAAAGCTGGATAGAAAAAGGCATTGAGTGAACTGTTATTCCCTTAAAAAGCCACTGGAAAGGGAAGCGTAGTTAGTGCACCAGCTGCTTGAGAAACCCAGTCTTCTGGGATTCCCCACGATGCCATTGGCGCTGGATTTTCCCTCTTGGTGTCTAATACTAATCAAAGGGGAGAGATTCAGTTACTTGCTTCTAGATTAGCTGGGGAGAAGTGTAAAGATTAATTAAAGTTGGAGTGTACTACCCGGAACTCCCCCAGAAATGGAGCATTTGGCATTATCAAAGTAAGTGTTTCGTGTTCTATGGTGCCGCCTTCTATCGTAAGAGAGGGGCTTTCCCTTTATCTGGGTTTTTTGGATGCTACTCTTGTTCAGTGTATCCCTAGGCTGACACTGTCACGGGAGTTAACCGTAAAGTAACAAATACAAAGTTTCCCACTGCAATTGTATATGTGCTGTATTCTGGGGGTAGGACACTTCAAGTGGTGGTGATACCAAGTAACTGGAAGGCTGCACTGGAAGCTTCCATCCTGCTTCAGTCTGCAGTTTACCTGCCCACATTTTTAAGTTTACAGGCGTTTTCCTCAACTGAGGCTTAATGTTACTGTTCCAGAATCAGAGATTCTGTGGTGGTGAGCAGAAGGGCGCTGTAGTAACGATGAGGGTAGCTGACCTCGTGGCGCGAGCACGGCTTGCTTTTCTGTGCTCAGTTGAATCAGAAACGCCGCCGGAGCACACGAGCGGGACGGTAGCCTGCGTACCGCCCTTCAGATTCAGTATTCTCTGCTGCAGGAATCCGATCGCCTGACAGCTGTGTTAAAAAGCGACTTACGTGCCTCTAGACTTAACAGCTTTGACTACCTCAAGTGAAACCAGCTGCGTTAAACCTGTCACCAGCCTGGACGGTTGCTGTGAGCGCGCAGTCAGCTCAGCAGCCTCCTGCTCATTTGCTCGGTCTTTGATCAGGTGGCGCAACTGTTACTGCTCCCACTTGGCCCGAGTCAGGTTATAGTTTGTACAAATTGCTTTTTGGAAGTCTAGCTCATTTTCAGGTGTAAGTGGGTACGGGAATACCAGACAGCTATGCCAAGCAGTTCTGAGGAAGCTTCACCTTCTAATCTGAAGCAGCTGCAGCTGGAACTCTGCGCTCGTGTCTGGCTGACTTCCATTGATCTCTCTGGAGTTCAGAGCTGACTGCAAACCAAGAGGTGCACCAGACCACGGTGTAGCTGGCAAGCTTCTGGCAGGGTGCTGTGAACAGTTTGGAAGGGGTTTTGCCAAGAATTCCACCCATCCAAAATGGTTAGGAGTTACCACCACGGAGCAGTAGCAGAAATTCTGTACTTCAGAATAGAATGTGCTTGTGTGTGAAGAACACAGACCTTCCAGACCAAGAGACAATCAGGTTTCATCAAGTTTTATTTAAAAAAGGCTTTATAAAATACAAAAGGAGGTGTCCAAGGCCGTTTCCTTCAAGAGTCCTTTGAAGTGTTTTATGTCAGGTAATAGGCAGTTGCCTGTGATGTTCAACTCTATCGTGTCCCTCCCAGTACTGCACGGGTGCTGCCCACGTAGACCGAATGAAGCGCAGCAACCGCATGCTTGAGAGCATTCTTTTCCGTTCAGTGGAACTAGCATACCTAGGATTTCCAGGTATAAGCATAATCCTTCATTTCCAGAAATCGGATGGAAGATTTTCCCAGTGTTGGACACTGACTCAGTTGATCCAAGGTCTTAGGATGCAGTCCACACGTAGGTGTATCTTTGCATACGGTTTCCTGTGGAAATTCACACAAAGAAGAGAGACAGGGAATGGGTATTTCTGTCTGAAATAGCTGTGGCTTTTAACATTCCCCTGTGTACCTCTGGGGAACTCCTGAAAAGGTCGTTTTCTGATTTACTCCATTTCTGAGGGAATGACAAGCCACAGGGACTGCCAGGCAGCGATCACAAGTAATTGGGTGTAAGCCGATGCGTTAAGGGAAAGCTTTGTGTCACTCCGTGTCCCACGGTTTGTAATAAGGATACTGTTCCTAACAGGATAGGTTGTCCCTGCTAGTTTCCTTACCTTGTTTAAGGCAGGGCTTGCAGGGTCGAGGTGAGCGTTAAACACGGCAGTTGGCTCGTGCGTGTAGAACACGGCAGAGAAGGCTCCCCTCTGTGCTGACTTGAGCAGCGTGGTCAGGGAATGCAGGGAATGAGGCAGGACAGGGCCTATGATCTCCAAACTGAACACATCCTCGTAGGCCAAGTGAACCCTGGCTTTGGCATTTATACTTCGAGCCTGAAGACGAGAACATGTAGGATTAGCTTTTGACGCGCCATGCCCTACTTTTCATTGACTTTAAAACTGCCGTGCCACAGCCCTCTTCAAAGTTCAGAATACTTCCCGATATTGTCAGCTCGCTATTCAACACGCTGCGATGGTTTTACTGTCTTTGTAATGTCTCCTAAAACATACCGATGAAGATAGGCAGGGAGGCCGGAACAGGGGGAGAAAACTAACTGCAGAAGAACAATGCTGAACTGCTCTGCTACCTGTACCAACAGCGTGTCCTTCAGTATCCGCCACCTCCTTACAGCAACACGTGGTGAGCCATGGTTCAGAGGCTCCCTCGCTGCCAGCAGCTGCGGTAGTTTGAGACCCCGTAAGATCTCAGGAGAATCTTGAACCATTTTAGCATCTGGGAAGTCTGCCTAATCTCTTCTGGATTGGGATGTGAAGAATGGAGAACAGCGGGATTTCAGAAGAGCAGCACAGATCTGCGTGGGCAGAGCTGACTGAGGGGGCAGGCTGTTGCAGTCAGAACGCTAACTCGGGCTACAGCAACAAAAATTACTCTGCTGCACCTGAGGCGGACTGTGCAAAGTCGGTGAAGAAACAACTTCCTCTTCTTTACTGGAAAACGGAGA